ACAAATTGTTATTGTGGTAGTGTTCATTGTAAAATAGTGTATAATATTGTTCTTATATAAAGTTTAAGTTTTAATTTACAAATTCAATTATATCAAGAAAATTCATTTTCTTGGTTGGTGTTATAAAAAATCAAATAACTGGTAGTAAGCTTCCGTCAAAAAGAGATTTTTGAGCGCTCTTTTACAATATTTATGCGTTTAGTCAAACTAACATTACACGATAGCGCAAGTCTTGTGTTTGATGAATGTAAAATTTTTTGTAAAAAAGCGCTATACCAATTCAAGGTCGATTAAATTGCGTAACAAAAATGATAAAACTCTACGAAGAATGGAGAAAATTAGATAAAAATAAAAATACTGATACACAAAAAAAAAAAAAATATGAATACGTTTAAAGACATTTTAAATGACTTATTTGACATTGCGCATAGTAATGCTTTAAATATTATAAAAATTGAAGTAATACTCACTAATTGAGTCCCGGGTATGAACGAGACATATACTAATTGAGTCCGGAGTTAGGAAACTATTAGTATACGAACTGAGTCCGAGGATTATTTTGAGTAAAATATAAAATCAACCGTCCAAAGTCCTGACACAGCGAAAATTATGCCACGCGGCAATAAAATTTATATTATTGTCACACTTATGTCTAATTAATGTGGACCTCATTCATACATTAATTGGTGAGGACCACCAATAGTTGTGATTCCTTTCATTCGAAAATTAATGATATATTTTATTCAGCACATCTAAACATTTACTAATTTATAAATATTTTGTTCAATGTACAACGCAAAATCTATATAAAAATTAGAAGTGTTCATATAATTAATAAAATAAATGATGTAAAAGAAAAATATATTGGAGATAAAATGCAGCTTTTACAATTAAACATAATAACTAGATTTTAATTTACAAAATACTTACACCATACATTTTTACCAATAAAGAAATGTTATTTTATCATTACCTATGTTTATTTAATTAAACACAAATTATTTGTATTATATTATTCCCCTACATTATTAAATTATAAAATATTGAAAAAGAAAAACATTTTTAATCATAACTGTAGAATTTTTCATTACAGACAGTTCTAAGTCTGTAAAAATGAGAAGAAAAAGGTTTATTTTTTTTTTAATTTGACGGGACTCAGTATTAAATCATGGATTTAATTTTACCTAAAATTGCACGGACTCAATTAGTATATACCTTAAAATAACACTCAATTCGTTACAAAAGGTTATAGTGAGACTCAGTTCGTATGCAGCCTTTCTGCTGTCTCTTTAACTTTCGTTTTCGGAAAATTAGACGCACTTGAAAAATATTCATTTAATTTTATTTAAATTGCTTTTCCTACTTTTCCTTTAATCATGTTTAATATACTTCGTATAAATCATACACATTATATAAATATATTTATTTATACTAATATATACTTACAACTATATTAATTTGTGATAAAATGACGTTCGTTAAATTCCATAGTTCTATTAAAACCAATAACTTAAACTAATAAATTTATTTATAGATTTCGTTTCTCGATCATACATTATGAACCTATAATATTTGAATTTAATCTGAAATTAGTTGGGATAATTTTTGGACTAATGATTTTCTTAATTTTATCTATAAGAATCAGGGGCAACTCCAGGGGGAGTTAGGGGCCATGGCCCCCTTCCAAGCCCGTACCATATTTAAAAAAATTTGTATATTGTTAATAAAAAATGCATATTATAATATGTACTATCATACGACCACACACAAGTATGTAGATAAAACCATACAGATATGACGGTTGAAAGGAGTTTCTCCATACTTCGGAGACTAAAAACCTGACTTTGTTCAATGATGACTGATGATAGACTATCAACATTATGTCTAATTAATGTATATCATAAAGTAGATATTCTAGATCAAATAGATCATATTATTGATATTTTGCCAGTTTTAAAAATAGACGACTTGAATTTGTGTTGTAAAAACTGTTGTTTTCTTTTTGTTATAAGATTTTGTAAAGTTATAACTTGATTCCCCCCCCCTAACCAAGGCTCTGGAGCCGCCCCTGATAAGAATGGTAACAATTGAAAATATATTTTTATTTTTTTCAAATTCAAAGTATCCTATTAAATATATAGGATTTAATGACAGTATTAAGTCTAGTAATCTATTATAATTTTTAATATAATATGAATATATTTGTTTTATTTAACAATGAAAAAGAATACCAAACTACAAGATTTAGAATACTCTAAATAACAAAAAAACGTATAAATTAAAATAAAACAATAATTTAGCGAGTGTTTAATTAAAAATGCTCGTACATTGTACGTATAATAATACTCTAGAATACGCATTTATTTATTTATTTATTTTTATAAACCATTTATTAATAATTTAGCTGTTAAAATATGTTAATAATACATTTATTAATAATACATTTGAGAATACATTTTATTTTGTTTTTAGTTTATTACTTAAATATATTAATTAAAAATGTTATTAATAAATTACTTCGAAAATACCAACGAATGGTTTAAAAAAAAAAATTAAAATCGAATTAATTTATGAGAGTTTTGAAGATTTTAATAAAGATTATGAGCTACGTAAATACCAGTAATCTAGAAATAGCTTACGATTTGGTTGTTTTCAATTGAAATCGTTGCAAAATATTTAATTTTAAAAATTAATTTAGATGACTATTTTGAACTATTACAAAATTAATTAGATAAGGTATTTATATTAATTTTTTAAAATATTATAAAATTAATACTAAAATGAATAGTTATTTTTATATTTAATTTAAAACTGTCCAATCAGCATGATAAGCAAAATATTAAGTATTAAATAACATATTATTTTATACATAATAATCATTAATAAATAATTTAATTGTGTTAAATTTACTCATAAAGTCTAATATATTTGTATTCAATTAATTTCCTATATTTTATACTCAAATAAATAAATTCATAAAATAATGTGTGAATGTCTTGCATATCAATTAAAAAATATTTTGATAGAAACTCTGAATTATTTTGTAAATGTCATCATTGACAGTTAGCTGAAATATGTCATAGTTAGGTAAGTGTTACATAATTATAATTTATAAATTCATAAAACATTTAATTTTATAAGTACGAGTATAATAAATATTATACAATTAAATATTTTATGTATTTTTTTGATGTTTTATAATATTTTAATCGTTATAATTAAAAGTATAATAATTATTTTAATTATACCATTTAGAATATTATACCACTTTAATGTCAATGCTAATTACTAACATTAACATTAAATTTATTACATTTTTTCATAGGAGACGAGGCGTTAATATATTGATTCTATGTAGTTTTTGCCCAATCCAACAGTAGGATTTCCGATGTTGAAAAAAACTTAAATTTATATAATTTATTAAAATAATTATATAGGTAATAAATACTATCAGTGGCTTGTAATAAGTAATAATTCATTTAAATTAATTATGGTATTACTAAAAATACAATTAAGAGACTTGATTTTTTAAGCTCTTCGAAAACGTTTCTAGCTTATAGTTATATAATATTGTAAATTTTTTTATAATTAAAATTAAATTAAATTATTAGAGTCTTATCAGGGACGAATCCACAATTAAATAACTTTGAGCCAGACTATTTCAAGAGGCCACTTATCATGGCTGAAACTGGATTATAAATGTACATCTTGTAATAAAAAAAAATAAAAATGATCATATAAAATGTTTTTTAAGTTTATTCATAATTATTATTGAAAACATTTACATATATTTTATTTTATGGAGGCTTCCGTCTTATATAGGTTCCGGCACAGAGATTTTTAACTGTACTATACAATTAAGTCAGTGGCGTTATTTGATCATTAAGGTGTCAACTTGGACAACGCCGTAATCTAGTATTAATTTGAACTTTAAAAAACACTTAAAATAATATAATACATATATAATTACAAATATAATAGTCCAATTTTGTCAAAAAATATTAACTGTAGGTCAATTAACCTCCTGACCCCCCCTCCCAAAAATCTGCCTTGGACTCTAATACCAATTCGTTCAATTAAAATAACACCATTAAATAGTATAATACACCATTATCATTGGCATGCGCAGAACTTTGGAACTTCTAAGTAAGGTTAACAGTGAGGTATAGTTAACGTTGATGAAGCTCTAGGCTTTTTTGTGTTAAGAATATTTTTAAATAGTTTGATTTTCGTTTTTAATTTATTGATACTATTATCAAATTTTTTTGACTAACAAGCATAATATTTGTCAGTGCTTGAAATATTTATTTGTTTTCAACTGCAGAAATTATATTTAAAGTTTCTTGATTAAACCGTGAATTTAAGTATTTCACCGAATGTTACAAAATAACAAGAATATTTAATTTCTTTTTTTTCAGATTCTATAATATGTTACGTATTTTCATTTAGATAAACTATGTATGAAATTTTCCATTTCCTAACTTTTGAAATCTGTATATTAAATTCACCATAAACTTGTAATATATCATTATATTGATGTATTATATTTCGATAATAATTGATATAATTGAGTTAGTCGTGGTATAAAGATAAATTGATCGGTATTTTTCATACAACTCTCATAATATTAAAATTATGATTAAAACTATTATATTAATTTGTAGTTAATAATTATGGCCAGGGTTTATTTACGACAAAGTAAACGATTATAACTGAAATGACAAATAAATAAAATTGTGAATAATAGATCACTCGTATGAGTATTTGGTACAACCTTGTGAAAAAAAATTATTAAATTATTTAAATGACACACTAAAAAACCCTAACTTTATAATAAAATCCCCTCTCTGTCATCCTTCAGACAAAAAAAATTGGAAAAATTTTAAATAGTGTCACAAAATTGGAATAAAAAAATGGCCTATTCTTTTATAAATATAATTTATATATAGCTACAATAGTGTGAAATTTTTTATCGATTATAAATTTAGTATTGCGTGTATATGGCTGTAAAAGTTTGTTTATTTGTTTCAAATAAACTCGCTAACCTGAGATTCCGAAAAATATAAATCATTCAACGTTGACGACTTGCCAAGTGAAGAGCTCTGAAGAAAATATAAAATATCTTTTTTCGATATATTTATTATTTAGTTGTAAATTTTTTCAACGATCGAATTAAATATGAAATACTTAGTTGCATTATTAGCTGTCGTTTGTATGTGTGCTATGTTCATGCCAATTGGTGAGTTTGTTTTATTTATATTATACTTATGTTAATAATTTATACTACTTGTCTTGTATTCACAGCTAGCGGTCTATCGTGTTACAAATGCGCCTGGACGGATTCAACTTGCACGATGAACTTGGATACCTCTAAAGTTAAGTCTGTGCCATGTGCTGGTTCAGCTGCACCCGGTGGTGCTAATCCAGCTGCACCCGGTGGTGCTAGTCCAGCTGCACCCGGTGGTGCTAGTCCAGCTGCACCCGGTGGTGCTGCTACTACCAAAGCTGCTGGCAGTGCTGTTACCACTAAAGCTGCTACTACAAAACCAAAAGTGATGCGCTCCCAACAACTCTTCTCCCAGTTAGCAGAGTCAGAAAAATATTACTGTTTCTCGATTCTCGTAAAACAAAGTAAGTTAGTTTCTGTAATGTTGAAGAAATCTGAAACAAAATCTTAAAAAAAATTAAATATACTTTTACTTAGGGTCAAATATTCGAGACATAAAATCTGAAAAATATAAAAAACTTTAGGGAAAATTAAAGATATAGAATAATAAATAAATTGACATTATTACAGATGGAACTACTACTGTGGAACGAGGTTGCAAGGCCGACAACAAAACCGACAACTGTTTGATTGCTGCAGACGTTAAAAAGTCGAATCCAACTGCTGTACTCAATGAATGTACCGTATGCCAAAAAGATAATTGCAACGCTAATGCCGGAGCTTATTCCTTAACAGGATCTGCGCTCCAGTACGTCGTTGTTTCTGCCATTTTAATCGGTCAAATATTTCTCCAAGCGAAATGATTTATGACTTAGATTAAGTAAAATGCATGTACTGCTAATAATTACTGCTAATGTAAAATAAACTAAAATGTTTTATTAAAATGTTGTGACTTTATTAAAAACATTAAAAAAATATACAGCCTTATAAAATTAATGAAAAAAAAAAAAA